TATATAATAAATGTGATCAAATTTCTAGTCAAGCGGAGTTTATTAAATAAATAAGATTTGTCATAATAAACAAGATTTGTCATCATACCGTCACTATATATTAAACACGTCTATTTAATCTCAAGTTCTCTCTCTCTTCCTCATTTTCTCCAAAATAAAAATGGTCCAACAACCGAACCTACCAACAAGTATGCCAACAGACGTGGTGCCAACTCAAACTTCTAATCCACCAACTCTCCAAGAATTAGGTCAAGTAGACCGTTTTATGTATAAACTAGTAATAGCCAATGGTAGGTCTCATAGTGCAAGACACAGTCCTTCTTCGTATCTAATTGAGAAATATGCTTTACAGATAATCTAGGAAGTGTGACAGATACTGAACTTGGTGAGTGGAGAGTATACTCTAACTCGCTTGTGACAACACATGGTAAGAATAATTTGGAAGTTATTTTTTTTCATACCTTTATGTAGTAAAATGTTGTTTTTTAACTTTGTATAGCAAATGCATCGGTCCTGGCGGGTACCAACACCAATACTACAGGAACTCCAGAATGGTTCATTCAGGCTTTCTCAAATGGAGGTATTGACGACCTAGCTATTAAAAACGCCATTATAACAGCTTGTGCACCAAATGGCGCCATAGATCAAGCCATAAACAATGGAATCAACAATGCTTGTGCACCAAATGGCGCCATAAATCAAGCCATAAACAATGGAATCAACAATGCTTGTGCACAAAATGGCACTATTTATTCCCTTTTTGACGTGAGGTGAAAGCCTTTTTATTATTTTTGAAAATATATCAAAACTTATAATTAACGTTAACTTTTCTGTAGTTTTCAAACAAGTATGGCAAGATCTCATAATGGTAACTCGTCTCGCGATAACGATTTATTTCGCGAATTCCCCAATTTGAATGGTGATTTACCATCTGATAGAAACGTCACGTTTCCTCAAAACTTGTCCACACTAAGGAATTTCACCCGTGCCCAATGCAATAGTCTACTCCGCCACTACAACCAATTACCTGCCAATAGTGTACAACAGGCAAGGCAGATGGTGCGAGTCTTTATTGGCGCTGGGCCTTTATAAAATGTAAAGCTAAATCTAGAACGATCTGTAAAAAATTAATAGTACAAACATTTGCTGTATAGTTTGCGTAATTGCGTTGTTTAATATGTTGATCATATAAAAATTATAAATAAAATAAAAAATTTCAAACAAATGATAACAATGATTAAATATTCAAATTATTCATGATTGTTCCAAATTTACTAATTTCATATCAAAAACGAGCGATTTTTTCATCAAAGTATGCGTTTAAAATAGATACAAACCAATCAATTAATCAAGGTAAAAACACCTTCCCTACTTACTGTT